CCCTACACGTACATTCACACCATCATGCATCATGTTTCCAGCTAATACTCGCCAACTGGGTTTTAAAATAGGGATGATACAGTTACTCCCTAATTTTCATGGCTTGGAAAATGAAAATTCATATGTGCACATTAGGGAGTTTGAGGAAGTAGTTGTGACTTTTCATAATCAAATTGCACTTGATGATGTTGTGAGACTTAAGTTCTTTCCTTTCTATTTGAAGGATAGAGCTAAGAGTTGGCTATACTAGTTGTGACCATGATCTATTGGGTCATGGAGTGAGATGACTCAGGTCTTCTTTAATAAATATTTTCCTCAACATAAGACCAACACTTTAAAAAGGTAAATCTCCACCTTTGCACAAAAAGACAGTGAGACTTTGTATCAATCTTGGGAGAGATTTAAGGAGTTGTTGAGTGTGTGTCCTCACCATGGGTATGAGAATTGAGGCTTAGTGAGCTATTTTTATGAGGGAATTACACTTAGAGAGCGTCAATTTGTGGAATTGATGTGAAATGGTGAGTTCTTACAAAAAGATCTTGATGAGGCCATAGAATACCTTAATGACCTTGCTGAAAAAGCTCACACTTGGACTGGACCTAGTGTTATTGAAAGCACAGATAGGTCACAAATTGTAGGAAACCCAAATGGTGGTGGAATTTACCATCTCAGGGAAGAGGATAGCCTAAAGGCTAAGGTTGAAATGCTCACTAGGGAGCTAGATATGTTAAAGACTAAGGACTTAAAGCCAACACTCGTGGCTAATCATGTAGAGTTTTTTGGACCATGTTTTGTGTGTGGTGGGGTAGATCACCTCACCCAAGAATGTCTCACACTTGCTGAGATGAGAGGGATGTATGAGGAACAATGTAATGCCTTAGGTATGTACAAGAAGCCTTTTACACCTTACTTTGATACCTATAATCCGGGGTGGTGAAATCACCCCAATTTTAGCTGGAAGTTTGAAAATCAGCCACCTATATAACCCCCTAGGTCATATCCTGCACCTTATTATGCACCTTCATCTTCTAGGAGTCCTTTAGAAGACAGTTTGAATTAATCTCTAAGTTGCCTACACCTAGGATAGTTTAGGATGTGAGATCCTTTCTTGGTCATGCGGGTTTTTATAGGAGGTTCATACAAAATTTTTCCACCATATCTAGACCATTGTGTGACCTCCTAGCTAAAGATGCCCCATTTGAGTGGACACAAGCTTGTCAAGAGGCCTTTAAAACGCTAATTGGCAAGCTTACCTTAGCACCCATAATGCAGCCACCTGATTGGACTTTATCTTTTGAGATCATGTGTGATGCTAGTGATTTTGCTGTGGGTGCTGTTCTTGGGCAACGAAGGGAGGGGAAGCCTTTTGTCATTTTTTGTGCTAGTAGTACTCTAAATAGTGCTAAGATGAATTATTCCACCATGGAAAAAGAGTTGCTAGCGGTAGTGTTTGCCTTGGATAAGTTTCGTGCTTATTTGATTGGTTCTCTTATTATTATTTTCACAGATCATGTAGTCCTTAGGTACCTTCTTACAAAGAAGGATGCTAAGGCACGACTAATATAGTGGATTTTACTTTTGCAGGAATTTGACATCACCATCAAAGACAAGAAAGGAGTGGAGAACGTAGTAGCTAACCATATCTCGAGACTCACATTTGAGGATACCTTTGATCACCTGCCAATCAGGGATGATTTTTTCGATGAACATTTACTTTCTATTACTTCTCTACCATGGTTTGCTCATATTGTGAATTATTTGGTTGCAGGTGAGATACCGATGGATTGGAGCACTCAGGACAAGAGGAAGTTCATGGCTGAGGTACAAAATTTCTATTGGGATGACCCTTTTCTTTTCAAATATTTTCCTGATCAAATTTTAAGGCGTTGCATCATTGATGATGAGATTGCCAGCGTCTTAAAATTTTGTCACTCCCAAGCTTGTGGGGGCCACTTTTCAATGAAGAAAACCGTTGAAAAAAATTCTACAGTGTGGATTTTATTGGCCCACCTTGTTTAAGGATGCAAATATCTATTGTTGCTCATGTGAAAAGTGTCAAAAGTTAAGAGTTATGTCCCGTCGTAATATGATGCCCTTAAACCCAATTTTAGTGATTAAAATTTTTGATTGTTGGGGCATTGATTTTATGGGACCGTTTCCTCCTTTTGGATATCAATATATTATTATGGCAATAGATTATGTGTCAAAATGGGTAGAAACAACATCTTGCAAGAGCAATGATAATAAGACGGTATTTAAATTTCTCAAAGAGAATGTGTTATCTTGATTTGGTATACCACGTGCTATCATTAGTGACTGGGGTACTTATTTTTGCAACCGTTCTTTTGAGGCTTTGATGAAAAAATATGGGGTAGTACATAAGATCTTTACTGCCTACCATCCTCAGACAAGTGGACAGGTAGAACTTGCAAACAAGGAAATTAAGCAAATTTTAGAAAAAGCAATAAACTCGGATCGCAAGGATTGGTCTTTGAGACTAGTTGATACGCTTTGGGCCTACTGTACAGCTTTCAAAATTACTTTAGGCATGTCACCTTATAGGCTTGTTTTTGAAAAGTCTTGTCACTTACCTGTGGAGCTTGAGCATTGAGCCTATTGGGCCATTAAACATTTTAATTTTGACATGGGAGAAACATGTAAGCTTAGAAAATTTCAGTTAACCGAGTTAGAGGAGTCAAGAAATGATGCTTATGAGAACTCTAAAATATATAAGGCTAAAATGAAAGTGTTTCACGATAAAAATATTTTGAGAAAAACATTTAAACCTAATGATCGAGTGTTCTTTTCCATCTTTTGTGTTGAAATTCAATTATCAAGGGTGGCAAATCTTGATGAATAACTTTATCCACGATTCCACGCACATACATATATCTCTGTTGATCATCCGCGAAGTAGGGTTTTGTTGGGGTTAATTGTTCTTGTTTGCCCATTTTAGATTCGATCTAATTTCTTTTGACAGTGCAGAAACTGAATCAGAGTATAACGTCGTCGTATTACAGAGGCCGCATTTACACAACCAGAGAGAGAGAGCCATGTTGTTTATGAGAGGTGATTTGTTTATGAGAACGAGAAAGCTCATGAAGGGTTTAGCAAAGTCCGAGCCTATTTGGCTCAAAGCCATGGAACAATATGTATCAATTATTATTATTGTTTTTGAATATTCTCAGTTACATGAATGTTTTATTTACCCTCGACTTATCCAATTGTCCATTCCTAGTTCCAATGTTCAAAATTAATTTTAGAATTTTTAGATTTTTTTATGGTAGGTATGATAGTTCTAATGAATTTCTTTCCTACAACGCTTTGATTGTTTAATTCAGGGCTCCAACGGTGTCATTTCCTCGTGCTGAGAACAAAATTAAGCCGATTAGTCTTCATGAGGATGTTTATATAAAGAGGTTCTTTCAGAAGCATCCGGATTCTAAGCATGAAGATGCTATCAAGTACTTTCCTACATACATTTATCTGTGAAGCATTCCATATTTGTCTCTTCTCTAGTTTATTAGACCAAGCTTGTGGAAGATGTTCTATTTACTTGAATTTTGTTTTACTGATGGGATTTTCTGTCGAAGAAGAGTTTTGAATGCATTTTGCAATATTTGCTTTGATTTTTGTTGTCAACTAGATATGATTTGTAATAGTGCACTATAAATGTTTTAGTAGATATATGTGTGGGTGAAGTTCGGTGTCCCTTAATTACAAGCTTAGTTTTATTTTGCTGTTTGAGGGTAATGAAGATAATGCATTCATGAAACATAAACACCATGGTATCACATAACTCGTGCCTTTGCCTGATGGGAAAGGTGGGTGTACTTAGGCGTGGTGATAGGTTCGAATATGATGATGGGGAGTGGAATAAGGACTACAATTGTCATCATCAATAGGGAAAAAAAGAAGAAAAACTAGCAATACAAATTTTATTTGAGAAGTCTTTGAAAACCACTTTCTAATTCACATCTTTATGATTTGAAGTGGTATTGCTTATTATGGTGTAAGTTTGACTCGTTTATCCTGAACATATGTATTATCCAATTAATGATATATAGGTTTGAATGGGGAAGTTTTTATATACTTTGCTTTTATTCAGATTAGTCAACGAGGAACTATTGTTGATCTAGAAACACCTATGCATTTGCTTAGATTAAGAGATCTAAAGATTGAGATTCAATTGCGTTGTGGCTATCTTCTTTAACTTTTCATTGAAAATGAAAGACATGTGAAATGAGAAAGATTCTGAAAGCAGTATGAAATTCCCTGTAATATAGGAGCATGGGAGGTGAGGAAGTGGCTTAGTGGTAAGGGCTCACTCTCACTCGCAGGTGGTTGCGAGTTCCGACCTCATCTCCTCTCCTTACCCCCCTTTTCCAACATAAAAAATATAGGTGCATTGCAAAAATAACTAAAGACAACATTACAACCCCAATAAATAGAATTTTCTTAGTCTTGGATGTCTTTCATTTGGTTTGCTCTTTTGTGTCGATGATTGCCAAGATTTGTGTCCACTATATGAAGAGTAACTTGCCCGTGTCCTTGGAAATCTCTCTCCCCTCCCCCACCAAAAAGCCCACGTATGTTTGTGTGCAAATGGTGTGGAATACCATACGTGTCATTATGTGGGATTTTTTTATAATGATAGTTATTTTGAATGGTGAATGTTGCATAACTTTTCAAACAGATTTATAGATGATAAATTGATGTAAATCTACAGCATTAATACCTCGATATAAAAAAATTTAGCATTGAAGCTTTTGAGTTGAGACTGCCTATGTAATAAGTGCTTTATGGTTGAGAATTAAGATTGTATTGTGATCTTTGTGGCAATATATCAATTTTGAATTTGAAGTAAAGTTCTAATCTGTCATTAGATTCACTTTGTATAATGTTCCAATAGGATTTCTAGGTTTGATCCCCCTCTAGCCCGTGTGTTTGGTTGACAAGTGCTAGAGTTAAAGAAGCAGGGAGTGAGTAAGGAGGCAGCTATGTCTGTTGCTGATGTATGTGTTTCATTTCTGATCCACTCATCTCTACAACTTAGCTTTTTAATTGTTTCTTATTACCATATTATTTTTTCTACTACTTCTATAGATGGAGTATTGGGCTGAGAAAAAAGCCAAAAAGAAGGCATATGTTTGGTTTTTGAAGCAAAGTGCACGGCTTGAAGGAAAGAAACTCCCTCCAAATCCATATCCTAGTGCCATCAAAGAGATACAGGCTAAAGAGAGGAACTTTGTTCGTGATCGTTTCCACTATCCCAAGATACTTAAAATTGGGCAAAAGATGAAAGAAGAAAAGGCAACTGAGATGCAAGATAGAATGAAGGGTGGTTCTTGGTAAAATGGCTTGCCATTTTGAACCTAGTGTCATTTTTGCTCTTTGAACTCAAATTTCTAGTAATGGTTTTAGTCAATTGACAATTGGATATCGTCTGCATGGATTTTGTTTTGAGGAAATTTTCAATGCAAGGCTCAGATCAGTTGTGAGTATATTTTTTGTTTCTCTTTTGTACTAAATTGTGTTTTCATATAACTCTCGTTCGTAGGTAACATCTAGAATTCTATTTGAAATAGTATCTTGGTCTAATGATAAATTGGAGACATTGTGGAGCAGAGAAAGGGGTTAAACCCCATCACATCATTTGTCAAGAGGAAGGTTGTACTTTTTTGGGAATGCTTTTGAAGTTTGGCAGGTAACTTTGATGTTGCAAAGCTACCCGATACTACATAGTAGTGTCGTCGAAGAAGAGTTGGGTGATATTTTCCCCAGCTACAAAGACTTGTTAACAACTATTTCCTTCTGAAATGGAACTCTAGAGTTAAGATACTGTAAAACCCAGATAAATTTGAATTTTTATGAAAAAAGGCCAAAACGGTAAATTAACCAATATGGTACGGGTTGAAAACCCAATTTTTTTAGAACTCGGATTATGAAACAGATCTTACCGTTGGATTCGTCTCGCAAAATCTAGTTACCCAGTCAATTTTCATTGAATTCTGAGGCAATCATTTTTTTCACATATTATAAGGCGATTAGGTGTTGCTTGACCAAAATAAATGCAATTGGAAATTTAATTGAGAAAAGTGAAAAATAATTTAAAGTTAGTTCAAATAAAAATATATTGAACTTGGATCGAGACGAGATTTAATTGCTTCAGGACGAAATCGGACCTAGATTAGTTGAACGTGTGGCATAATGAGTGCCAAGAATCTAAGGGGTATAAATTGGGGAGAAAATTCAGATTTTCTCCCCATTACCCATCAGATTTTCTAAAAAAGAGAGGAAGGAGAGAGAAAAGAGAAAAAAACTAAAGTTCTTCAACTTCTCTCTATGATCTACGTCTCTCTGTTTTTCGAATCACCTCGAGTCAAGAACAAAGATTGTTCTACACAACATGGGCTAGAAAGCCACACCAAAAATCGAAGGTTTGGACGAAGTCCAAAAGACAGGATTTTTGGAAATCAAGGGCTAAAGCTTGATTTGGGTTCTTAGAGGCTTTCTATCACTTGTTTTACGCTTCAAGAGGTATGGTTCCTTTCCTAATTAGGTTTATTTCCAACCTAGGGTTGAAATATGAAATGGGTAGGGTGTTAGAGATGTGATCTCATGGTTAGCACATACCTATGATATTTGAAATGTGGGAAATGTGTAGAAGAATGGTTAGAAATCAATTATAACTTGAATTGGGTTAGTGAAATTACTTGTTTGTGATTTCTTGAGAAATGTGATTATTTGGGTATAGTATGTGTTACACAATTTTGTGCCTTAAAGGTGTTTGATTAAATACTTATTTGGATTAAGTTTGTTATTTGCATTGATTTTGTTATAACATGCTTGTAATTTGATGTTGGTAAATGTTAGTGTATGCATATAGGTGTATGCATCAATTGACTAATTCAAGAAACTAGAAAGGACAAGCCATTCAGGAGGAATACTCAAATAACTCAATTGTCAGTTTAATATTATTAGTTAAACAACCCTAGTGAACCACAAGGTCAAGACATTCAGGAGGATCACTTAGATTATTAATCTGGCAATTTTTATACCATGTATTAGTTAAACAACCTTAGTAATCCAGAAGGAAAAGTCATTTAGTTGGATCACTCAGGTTATTCATCTGAAAATTGTACCATACAACAGTTAAAACATCCTTAGTGCACCTAGAGGTCAAGCCATACCGTTGGAACACCTTAGATATTCAACCAGCAGGTTGATGATTCACTGATGACATAATTTTGGGCTGCATGGTAACACCCAATTACGTATATCACTGTATCATGCATGAAGTTCATAATAATAGATAGTATGGTATAGAATAATAAGTATAGGTCAGTGTTCATAACCATGAGCAAATTATAACTATAACCATCCATCATTTAAGGGAGGTATATATATATTGATATATCATAATTTAACATCGGTATTTCCATAATTTAACCAATAATATACATATGTTCACCCCTCACTGAAGGGTATAAGTAAACTACTCACGCTCCATTGCTATAAACAAGAAAGAAGTGCGGGTAATTTGAATTACAATAGTAAATAAAATACAGACATTGACACTTCTTTCGCAAGGAACAATTGAAATACAACCACCCTTAATATCAGTTAAGACACAAAGGTGGTGGCAGTTCAACTCTCAAAGTAGAAAGACATAACAGAAATGTAGAATATAGAGTTTTGGCTAGAGAGTAGGATAGACCGAATCTTAAATTTTTCTATGACTTTCTCTCTTTTCTTCTTCTTGAATTCTCTCTCTGGAGCTCTTCGTATCTCTCCCAAACTCTCCCCTCCCATCCGATTGAAGATGAATGACGCACACACACATATATAGGCAACCAGGAAAGCAAGAGGTGGAGGATAAAGATCAATCTCCAAGAGCCACCGTCCGGACGCCACCACCACCATCCGGACGGTGCTGGTTTGTTGGAAAAGTGGTGCAGGTTCCATGATGTTCTTGCATGTTCCATTAGTTGAATTACACTTGCCTTCTTTGTTGTTTCAAGCTTTGACAGATTGCTCCTCCTGATTTCTGGTAATTCCGCACAAAACCCTGAAATTTCATACAGGATACCCATAAAGCCATAGCTTACGCACAAACCCTAATTAATAGGTTTTAACTGTTTTATCTTACAAATTTAACTTTTTTAACTATTTTAATTCACATACTAATTAGGATTAATCACACTCCCCAACTTAAACTTTACTAGTCCCTAGTAAATTATAAAAACTATTAACAAAATAAAATACAGAGTATAATCATTTTTGTAGATTTTTTCACGATTGCAGTTAGCATATGCAACAAGTTGTTAAACCCCCTAGGTGATCCCTAGTGGACGAGTTTTGTCTAGTCAAGGATTTCAGTGTAGTTACCTACAAACTTAAGTAGTTAGGAATTCATAATTCATATTGTTCACAAATAAAATTAAATCAATATTCCTCTGCATTGCTAGAATACTTCCTTTTTCTTATCACTATAAGAGTAACACATGTTAGTTGTAATATTATCTATATATTTTTATAAAAACTTGTGTGTGTGTGTGTGCAATGATTTCTTTTATTTCAAAAATCACTCATGAAATATTACCATCTTTCATGGTAGTCTTGATGTCAATCCTCTCCTGGAATACACTCAACAAAGAATACCTCTATGTTATAGTGACTATTCACTCAATAATTACATGTAATTTAGAATATTGTTAACAAAGCAAATAATATCACATGTAATATATTAGAATAACGGTTATTAGAATTTGACATAATCTCACGAAAAGATATTAATACTACATTAAACATATCATTAATATTCTCCCATTTTGGATTGATAGGATAAATACAGATCCATGATTTCTGGAATCAAAAAGCACTTTTTTAGGGTTGTAATGTGGCCGTTGGTTTAGGGTTTAAGAAATGATGTTAATGAAATTCAAAAGCTATCCTTTCTTAATGTGGCACACATCTTCCCATCTTTACACATTCTTTCATTTTTCACTTTCTTGGCTTTTTTCCTTCTTTAAATTTCTTTCACAGATTTTTTTTAGCATGATTTCCTTTTGCCTTTCCTTGATCTTTTCTATTTTTTGTTCTTCTTTTGCCTTTCCATATTATATTGATTTAGAAGAGGGTGCAAGAAAATTAGATAGCAAAGGTAGGTTTAATATATATTTTTCATGTGGCTTGGGTATTTTTTTTTCTCAGGTTTCATGAAAAGAATTTATACTCTTTTAGGCTCAATTATGGCTAACTAAGGATATAATTTTGTAAAAGAAATGGTCAAGGCTCAAATTTAATCAAAAATGACCTAAGATCATTTTCTAGAAATCATATACCTGCATAATTCCTAAATAAATATTTCAAGGATAGTGTTAACAATATAATCTAATGAGTGCTAATTAAAACAAAACTAATGAGATTATTCAAAGAAAATTTACCGTTGAATCGAAAATTTATTTTTGAGTAGATGTAGAATATCTCTCCAAGAAAGATTGGCTCAAATTCTTCAATTAGTTTTACATCTCCACTATATATGCAAAGAGTGTAATATTTCACAAGGTTTCTAAAATAAAGAAATCTATTTGTGCTCATAAGAATAAGTTTACACAAAAATATTAAGATAATATACAATTAAAATACAAAAATCCTGCGTGATCAGATTAAGATTATTCTTAGAAAGCATGAGAATATTAACCTAATTAAACTATAAATTATATGAAACAATCCTCCTAACTTAAAACATAAGCTCCATATTAACTAACAAAAATAAATTAACTAACACAAACAAGTTCAAAACTAAACAGTTTCAAAACATAAAGTAAATTAAAGTGCATAATTAAAAGATGAGTTGTAAAACCCGAAAAAATTTGAACTTTTTATGAAAAAGGGCAAAACGGTAAATTTTTATTACAGTGCGGATTGAGAACCCTTATTTTTCTAGAGCTCAAAGGAAGAAATGGATCTCACCATGGATTCATCTCGCGAAATCTAGTTACTCAGATAATTTTCATTGTATGCCAAGATAGTTATATTTTCACGTTTTACGAAACGAACGAGTCTCGGGTGAATCAAAAACAAAATTTTTAATAAAATTTTGAAATTTGTAAAATAATTTAAAGCAAGTTGAAATAAAATTATTTGAGCTTGAACTGGTACGAAATTTAATCGTTTCAGGGCAAAAATGGACTCGAGAAAGGGGGGCGTGTGGTGTGACGTGGACCAAGCGTTAAAGTGTATAAATAGGAAAAAAAATCTGATTTTTTAGAGACAGCTCTGCTGGGTTAAAGTTGGAAGAGAAAGAGAAGGAAAAAGAAAGATTTAAAGAGTTCTTTCTCAGATCTACG